TGTAAACTAGTTCAACCATTATGGAAAACAGTATGGCGATTCCTCAAGGATATTTTTGAATACTTTATACATTTGATATTTAAAAAAATTTTATAGACGAGGTCTCACTATGTTGCCCAGGCTAGGTGTGAACTCCTAGGCTCAACAGATCCTCTTGCTTCAGTCTCCTGGGTAGCTGGGACTACAGGCGCATGCCATTGTGCCTGGCTAAGATTTGGTAATATTTTAAAGTTAAGTAATTTAAGCACAAAATCAAGTTGTTCATATCACTTAATTATGTTTCCTAACAACATATAGTTGTAAGAAACCTGGTTCTGCCTAAAGTCTACAAAGGAGGAAAAACCAATTCATTGATAGAATTGGGCTTTCTATTTTATACCTCTAAATAGGGCTATTTTAAATAATATAGGGCCACTAAAATGTTACTCATTCCAAATTTTGACATTAGGTATTTGCTTATCCTGGTAGATATAGCCTGACTGTCCCTCAATACTTGCTCTCCCTGCTCCCATATGCATGGGATTTTCAGGTGGGCTCACTGTTCCTCGGATCTAAGGCCATGTTTTCTAGCTCCTTTGTGTCTCAGTGTGGCCACACAGGCTAAGTTCTGGTTAATGGTTTGTAGAGAGCAGTTTCGAGGAACTGTCCTTATGAGGCAGTTGGGCTGTACCCTTCTTTTTCTCCCTTTCCTCCACCTGGAGTTGGCATGTGGCTCTGTTGGCTGGAGCGTCATCTTGTCCAATGAGCATATGTGCCACACCGAAGGAAAGCAGACCGGAGAGCTGGAAAAGGTCTGAATCCCTGAAGACTCTATGGAACAGAGCTGCCACAACAGCCTTGGATTGATTCTCTCCAGACTTTTCCATGAGAAAGAAAGAAAATTCTCTCTTGAGTCACGAATATTTATTCTCTTTTATTCAGAGGGAAATTTAATCCTAACAGATATACTTATCTACTAAAATACAAATAACAAAGCAAACATTAAATCTGACTTAAGGAAAAGCTAAAGCCAAATATTTTTTAAAACTAAAATTGGTTTGTATTCTTAAACATTTGAAGTATTTTCTGGCAACTACCTGATTTCTAAGGAACAAAATGCTCACTACCATTAGAAAATTCTCATGCTTTATGATAGTATAGCCAACTAAACATGTTTAACATGTTTCAACCTGAAACATGTTATGTTTATAAGAGGTCTTCTTTAATCTTTACACCTATCTAAGGGTATATTACTTATTTATAAGACCATTTCACCATTAGAGTGCTGTGACACGGCCTTAGAGAACTGTATTATAAAATGCTGCCAGTGTATTTTCTTGAAGAGTATCAAAAATCAAGTATCTCTTATATGAGATATAACTGAAAACTTTATTTTTTTTCTATTAGACATGGGGTGACATGTTGCCCAGGCTAGCCTCAAACCGCTGGACTCAAGGACTCAAGTGATCCTCCCACCTCAGCCTCCCAAACAGCTGAAACTACAGGGTTGTGCTGCTGTGCCAGGCAACTTTTTTTTTTAAACTCATTTACAGTTTACTTTCACCTTTTATTGTTTTTAGAGTTTATGACATTATTTTTAATAAGCTTTTAAAAAGTTGTCTTTTATTGCTTTTTCTTAAGTATATAAATATATGAGGATAAAATTTATAGACAGAACAGTTCTAGCTTGAATGACTGAAAAGGGCTGCTCAGAAAAGGAGAAGTTAAAACTTTACATACTGGGTCTTCACTGGACAGGTTTGGGTTCATGGGAACATAATTCTCTTCACTGTCATGTGAGTCACTGCTTGAAGTTGTGCTATGCACTGAATCCGGTCGCGGGGACATGGGAAACCTAGAAGAGCTAATTACAGAAACATGTTATCACAAACATAAGCCTTGACAATAATACCTAAAATTATTCCCCAAATAAAAATGATAGTCTGCATTCTTTCAGAAATATTCCCTTATGTTTACAATCATTCATTGTACAAATTTATAATGACATAATTTTTGTGCACAAACACATAACTAATATTTATAACTGTTTTATAAAAGTGTATTTTGGACAGCAAAATATTTTGTGTAAAACAAGTCCCCCCCCCCCAAAAAAAAAACCCACTACCAGTGACTTGGTGATAAGTAGAAAGTTACAGATATAAAACGGAAGACAAGAATTTCTATTTTTAAAAAAACTATATATAATATATAATACATAATATATAATATACATAATATATAATATATATATACACACACACGTAAAACATGAACATATGTTCAACGTAGGTTTGTAACTTCATAAATTCCTCTCATTTTCCTATATACATTTAAATAAGTCTTGGTGGCCAGGAGCGGTGGCTCAAGCCTGTAATCCCAGCACTTTGGGAGGCCGAGACGGGCGGATCACGAGGTCAGGAGATCGAGACCATCCTGGCTAACCCGGTGAAACCCCATCTCTACTAAAAAATACAAAAAACTGGTCGGGCGAGGTGGTGGGCGCCTGTAGTCCCAGCTACTCGGGAGGCTGAGGCAGGAGAATGGCGTAAACCCAGGAGGCGGAGCTTGCAGTGAGCTGAGATCCTGCCACTGCACTCCAGCCTGGGCGACAGAGCGAGACTCTGTCTCAAAAAAAAAAAAAAAAAAGTGGCAAATAAGTCTCGGTTACATAATCTCCACAAGAGACGACCACATTTTCAAGATTAGTAATCCTCAGAAATGTTTGGTTTCATAAACCTTTTACACTCTTAAAAATTATTGAGAATCCCAAGAAATTTTTGTTTACATGAGTTGTACCTATTCATTTTGCCGTATTAGAAATGAGAATAGACTATTTTTTAAAACACAAGTAGTACACAAATACACATATTCTATTGGGTGTCACAATGATATCATCACTTATCATGTAACCTCTGGAAAACTCCACTGTACACTCAGTAGGAGAATAAATACAGCAAATAACATCTTAATATATTAATGAAAATGGTTTTGACTTCACAGAACCCCTAAAAAGGGGGCTCTTCAGATCATCCATTGAGAACCACTATTCTAGATATTTTCCAGGATAATGAACAATTCTAGATAGTCACATTATTCATACAAACTACATATTTTAGACAAAGGACTTACTCTCGAGCAAAACTCCTAGTGATGGGAGATCTAACTGGGGCTTGTAATTCTTCCCATTCTGGCAAAGGTTTTATTTCTAAAGGTGCTGGCTTGACTGAAAAAAAAAAAAAAAAAGAGAAAAAGAGATTTTTAGTGTACAGAACTTTGGAAAACAAACAAGATTCTCTCTCTGTAACTCTATATTTGATAGAGCAAACCTAAGACCACCTAGTTTCACATATGAAATGAGGTTCATGAATGTTACATGATTTGCCCAAGGTTACATAGCTAAGTAATTAGTGGTAAAAGCTAAATCAAATGTTTCATGATTGTTACCTCAAAGCCTAAACCTCTATTACAACATGTTGCCTAAGTACATGTTTTATGAATATAAACTAAATGAGATGAAGAAAGAGTAATGTGACCCAGTTTCTCTATGGTTGCTTTATACGTTTCATTATTTGATAAATTATTTCACCAATTTCATACTCAGTAAGGAAATTTAATCATCTATGTAAAATCATTCCTATTCTTCAATACTGAAGTATATAATTATATATCTAAAATGATGCATAGAAACTATTAAAAACAAAACTTTGTTAAAACCCCAAACCAAAAAAAGTTCAAATCTTTTAAAATAATTCATGTCCAGTCTGGAAACAAACAAAACGAAACAATATTTATATCTTTAGATCCAAACTCTACTCTGAAAAAAGGCCACAATTATTTTACTTCAAATTGTTAGTGTAATTTAACCAACAAATCTCTTCCTAAATTATATACAATTAAGTAAATGCTAATAATAATTTTCATTTATAAGTGATCTTTATTTACCTCACACTGCAGTAGACAATTAAACCAGTATATACCAGAGTTCTTAGCCATTTTCTTAAAGTCAAAACTGAGATTTTTTCAGAAATTTATGGAGTGAGCAAAAGAACTAAAACAATACTATTTAATACTAGATATTTTAGGAGACTACCTAAACATATTAGGTAAATATTTCAGTTATGTTTCATTCTGCCACTCTTAACAAAAAATTTCATCTTTCCAGATTTATTTATAGTCTTTGCCCATGTATATTCAATTTTAATCAATTATGGCATAATTACCATTACACTATAAAATGAATGGTCATTTTAAAGGACCATACACATTGAGGCTCATAAGTATTTTGTCAACTCATATATAATGAAGACCAAATTAACTTATTAAATTTTAGCTAAAACCATTTTGCTTGTCTATATTCTTAAAATAGACAGATACAGAATATTCCGCTGACTGAAAGTATTTCTTTAACTGTTAATGTTTTACTTTTTGACACCCAAAGGCTAATAGCAGTTTAGCTGTTAGATTTTAAATAATGGCACAATTAATCCATGGAAATGATTCTTCTGTGTCAGAACAGAATACATATACATAAAGACAGAAGACAACAGAAAATCACAAACAGTTCACAAATTTAAAGGATAAAATGTTGTCTAAAAAGTTAAAAGAATAATGCAAAAGGAGAAGTCTGAATATCATATATTATCAAATATTTAACATGCTGTTGTTAATGGCATACATGGGAAGCATTCATTTTAGAAATAATGTGCTGGAAAGTTCTATTTACAACAGCAATAGTATTTAAGGTTCTTCTTTTAGAAAAAAAAAAAAGAACATTACAAAATAAATTCCCAATGCCCCATACCACATGCGGTGCTAAAGTACATACCCTTTCTTCTTGTAGCAAAGTCACCTATGGTTTGTGAATCAGTTCGCTCTAAACCATGGGGTTTGAGTCTTAAAATTTTAGGACTTTGACCTAATTGGTAAAAAGAAGACTCTCTTAATATAATGTTATTTATTAATTGGAAAATGGATTCTGTAAAAAATGCAACAGAGCCCTGTGCAAAAATGTTACATCTAAAAGCATGAACAAAAGTTTGTTGTGGAGAATATTTCAGTCTTGCTACATAAAATTCATGCTCATGCTCAGCACAACGGAAAAGAGGAATTTACATGCAACGATGTAAGCAGCAAGGAGGTATAAAAGATGGTAGGATTTTAGTGCGATAATCAGCCTGGTTAGTTGTTATCTTCATTTGGGGGAACAGAGGGAAAATATGTGCCATGTTAGTTTTTCTTCTAACATGTCTTAGAAAACTGGATCAAATAAAAAATTTGTAGACTACCCTAGTCAGATCTCAATTACATCTTTCTTTTCTTTGAAATCTGGTGTCTCATATGAAAGCCTGAAGGCCTATGTCCTTGTAATATTACTTTTCTAATTTGGTAGAGATGTTTTTAAAACCTTAATCTTTTCCTGCACCTCCTAACCAAGACTCTTCTAGAGAAGCAAGTGGCCACTACTATATTTACTAATCTAAAACCAATAAAAGACCAACATTTCTTTCCTCTGGATACTAACTGGTTGCCCAATGGCTTCATCTGCAAGAATTAGATGTTTAGATTCTGGTTATACTGATTGCCTAGCTTCAGTTTAATTAAGTATATGAAAGCATAAATTCAGTTACCATCATCTTCCTTTCATTTAATGTCTGCCACATAAAAGCACTGCTGAAAAGCCTATGAAAGACATCTTTCCCATTAGAAGCCTGGATGCCAGAGTTGCAATATCATTTGAATCAGTGATTTAAGCTATTCCATTATTAGTGGCACTAAATTTTCTTTTTTCTTGGAATTTACAAAGTTGAGTTGACATCTATTAGGTGGCAGAATCAGAATTTGCTGGTTAAATGCTGATATCTAGCACCTTACCTACCGAAATCTCAAAGCTTCTTAAAATATAATTCTGTAGAGGTTATAAAAAATAAAAATTTCCTAACCAATTTTCTAAGTTAGACAATACATTCAGTTTATTCAGAAATGAGGCAGCCTGATTTTAAAAGGTAAATACTAAAATTTTGGGCAAGATTCACTCCCTACCCCTAAAACTCCCTAACCCAGGGCCCACACCGGCAGGACCCTTTTCTAAAGCAAAGGAAGATGACAACTTTTTTTTTTTTGAGAGGGAGTCTCGCTCTGTCTCCCAGGCTGGAGTGCAGTGGTGCGATCTGGATCTCGGCTTATTGCAAGCTCCGCCTCCTGGGTTCACTCCATTCTCCTGCCTTAGCCTCCTGAGTAGCTGGGACTACAGGCGCGTGCCACCTCGTCTGGCTAATTTTTTGTATTTTTAGTAGAGACGGGGTTTCACCGTGTCAGCCAGGATGGTCTCGATCTCCTGACCTCGTGATCCGCCTGCCTCAGCCTCCCAAAGTGCTGTGATTACAGGCGTGAGCCACCGCGTCCGGCTACGATGACTTTTTAAACTCCCCCAAATAGTGTGCTACCCTTAAAACAAAACAAAACAAAACAAAACAGAGGCAGAGGGTAAGTCTTAGTATTAAAATTATATGATTATTTTGGAGTGAAAGGCCCTTACAAATCTAGTTTCTTCATTTTAAGAATGAGATTCACCCAAAGAAAGGGATTAAGTGATTTGTTGAGGTTACACTTTAACCGGAGGCAGAGTTAAGACTTCCTCTAGCCTGCCACTTGCTGGTGTGGCACTCCTGTTCTATACCATATTGTCTTACCTTTCCAGACCTTTAGGGATACAGAGAATCTTAGGAAATTCAGCTGGATACTATGTTGGAGCTGCTTGGAGTTCAGTTTTGAACTCTCCATTGTGGCTGACTCTGTGCTACACAGTCACAAACTAAGGAACCCAAGCAGAGGAGAGAAGAAATGTGCTCATTCCTACACTTATGTCTATAGTTGATACTACTCTGGATTTACAGATGTGGCCTGGGGGGATGTCAACGTGAATGCCACAGAGAGTTGACACATCAGTGACGTCAAGTTTAATTACAAAATGCTCTTAGAACTACTTTTGGTTTGCTGGTCTTGACCTAATGTGTGAGACACACTCCTCCTTTTCTGAAGGATCTGTTTTCATTAGCTCTGCAGCTCCCTCCTGACTTTTTTCACCATAGTTATCTCCCAGTGGTCACTCTTTGCGTTTCTCAGCTTTGCGCCCCCAGTATCTTATCTATGTTTGTGGTTAAATAATCAAGATCACATGACTGCTAAATCTTACCAAGTTATGGTTTCTCACCTTCTTCTTTAGTTCTACCTTCCAACTGCCTGACAGGTCACCTCCAATTATCCTTCTGAAGCTGAAACTAATTGTTTCTCCTCCAAACCAATGCCATTTTCCACCTCCAACGCCCTTAGTAATGACACCATTTTCTGGATCCTTAGGTACAAATTCTCAGAGTTATGTAGTCCATCCCCTTTGAGCATCTGCATTTGGTCTCAAAATGCTAATAATTTCCCAATATGACAACAAAAAGAGCTTTTCAAATGGGAAGGACTGAAATGGAAGGAGCAGGGAGTCAAGGTCAATGAGAAAGTTACCCGAGCCTGTGTGAATGCTGGTGTGATGACTATAATCCAGAATGCTCACGGCCTATGAAAAATATCATGGAGGGTCTTTTAAAATCTATTTCTAGAGGAAGAGAAACAAGGCAAGAACAAACGTGTTTGGGAAAAAAAAAACTAATAATAATAGATTAAAAAAAAAAAAGCGAGAGAAACTCAACTCCTATCTTACTTTAGTCTTCTCTAGCTAGGAGAATGATTTTCAAACTGAAAAGGACAGAAGAAAGATAGCAGCCATTAAAGGTCCATTAAGTGAGAAAGGTGTGTGAAAGCTGATTATACAAATTGGGTCATTCTTGTTGTAGCCAACTAAATTAGGGTTGAGGGGCCGGGGGGGAAGCACTCACGGCACAGGGCAACTGATCCAAGCATTAGCGAGACGGGCGGATCACGAGGTCAGGAGATCGAGACCATCCTGGCTAACACGGTGAAACTCCGTCTCTACTAAAAAATACAAAAAAAAAAAAAAAAACAAAAAAAAAAACTAGCCGGGCGAGGTGGTGGGCGCCTGTAGTCCCAGCTACTCAGGAGGCTGAGGCAGGAGAATGGCTAAACTCAGGAGGCGGAGCTTGCAGTGAGCTGGGATCCGGCCACTGCACTCCAGCCTGGGCGACAGAGCGAGACTCCGTCTCAAAAAATAAAAATAAAATAAATAAAATAAAACATTTCCACAGCCCCTGGTGCTGAAACGGCCTGCTGCAACCCTAAGACCGGTTTTATGTAGCAGCTGCTGCATGAGACTTGCCATGACTCTAAAACTGGTTTCACCTACCGCCATCATTCACCAATCAGATCTTGCCAGCTCCCAAGAAATTCTCTAGTGCCAGTGAGCTTTCTTTTAAAACAATACGTAAGATTTCTCTTTCTAATAAAACTCCCAACCTCCTCCTCGTTCTTCAGACATAACAAAGACCACTTTGTCTGTGTATCTCAAATTGCAGTCTTGCTTCCCAAATAAAATGTTAAAGATTCATCTGTGTATTTTTATTCTGACTTCAACAAGTGCAACATAGTATCCAGCAACTTTAGAGTGTTCTATTCAATGAATTACATTTCAAGATAGCAATGATTTTACAGACAAGAACACAGAATACATATAACTTATTTGGAGAAGTCATGGAGAATATGGAAATGCCACAAGAATAAACTACGGATGTGTTTACATCACATTCTTCCCTTGAATTGTGCTCTGCTCTGGCTAGACCATTCTCTATTTCTCATGTACATCTTTAAAATTTCAGCCCTTTTCTACATTCTTTCACTATCAATATCCATCACTGCTTTATCAATCAGTGACTTTAATTTCTACACAAAGCTCAAGTTAGAACACATTCTCTAAGACTGCCCAGAGAAATGCCATTACACTTAATTATCAATCATGAACATTTATTGAGAAGTTATTAGGTATTAGACATGCTAACACCTCTTAACAACCACATCGGGAAGGTACAATTTAAAAGAGATTTTAATAATTGTATTACCACGCTGGTTGGGGCTTATAGAACTTAAGTAACTTGCCCAGAGTCACACAGATGATGACTGGTAGAGCCAGAATTTAAATCCTGTGCATCTACAGAGAGGGTTCATGTTCTTAGTCCCATATCCTTATTTCAAACCTACAGTCTTTACTATAGTTACTCTTAGAAGAGTATTTGTATCGCTTTGCTTTTGTATACAGTAAGTTATCTCAACTAAATTTTAAGTACTTCCAACATTAGAGATGTAAAATCGTTACATTTCTCTGAAGGGTTTACCTTCATGACCAGTAATTTCCTCTTGGTAACAGTGAAAACATATATAAAATGTAAGTAATTGTAATGATGAAGATAATGTGGACTAAGTAATTTTTAAAGATGTCGTATGTTCCAAGGAGACTCGTATGAGTCAAAATCAGATGCATGAAATCAGTAAGCCTTTCACTCAAGTTCTTCCTCATCTCCATTACCTTTTTTTCTGGGGTGGGTACTAAAAGGACACTCCTTTTCTAGGGTATTCCTTGGTTTTCTTAATAGAACAATATGATATAATCATATAGAGATTTTTAAAAATGCATTTATAAAATTTACATGTATTTTCTACTCTGTGCAAAGCTTAAGGTTAATTTTAGGGCAGAAGCTACAATGTGGAAATGTTGCACTGAATTGTACTATGTCACTTAGGGGTTTTGTTAGCTTGATTTCTCTATGCTTCCAAACTCAATTTGACATTTATGTTCCAGACAGACATGAAAATCGCACCCAAAGAATAGCCCTATATTACTTGAGAGAAAGGAAAAAAAGAGTCCAAGGTGTAAGGAGGACTGTCTTAGCCTTTTCTCCTCCTTTACTGCCTGTATAGGCCAATGTTTTACTGATTGCTGAAGAAAAGTATGAAAATAGA